TAAAATCAATTGATTTCTTATTTATAAAGCGAATTGGAGTCGAGCCTAGCGCAACCGAATTCGAGCCGGGGGAATCCGAGCTGCCACCTTCTAAGCCCTTGGCAAACATGACAAAAGGAGCCGAGTCAGATCCAGAGTCGGAACAAGTAAACAAGCCCATAAATAAATTATTTGCTTAGGAGCAGTCAGCACAGTCTTTCAGAACTAGGCCTGCCAAAGCCACTGGCGGGAGGTGTGCGAATATATATATAAATATATATCTCTCTATATATATATATTATTTTTTCGTGTTTCCGCTTAGTAAACACAACTGAAATGACAAAAAGGCAGCCGGGCAGCTGACAATGTCTTGACCAAAGTCGAGGAGTTTCGTCCTCGGCTCCCCCCTCGGAAACATTATCAAGGCAAACAGCGGCATAATGGAGGTCCTGCTAAAAAAAGAAAACACAAGACGAGTTGGGAACTAGCCATGGATGGAGCTCTGGTGTTGACTCTGTGTGTGGTCCCCGCAATAAGAGGCCCATAGGAAGCCACGGGATGGGAATAGGGCTGGGTCATTGTGATAAATAAGTAAATAGCCGGAGACAGGCGCAGACCTCAGATCGATTTATGCAAAGCTTCCTCCCCGGGCCTGGCTTTTAGTGACATTAAGGGGCGTGGCCCTAAATGTTTAATGGCCTGCAAATAAAAGTTATGCCTATCCAGGCTGTGGACATTAGCGAAGCGGAAGATTTTATCGGAGGAAAAAAAACTGGCAAAGGAAATGAAAATCCGTTGATAAGCCCAACTCATTTTCAGGATTAGCATTCCGAGTGATTGGAGTGGAGTGGGAAAATTACCCTAAATCACATATGACTTGCAGGAACTCGAAGCAATTTATAAGATGCGACAAAAAATGCATAATTAAAATGATAAATGTATCTAAAAACCGTTTCAGGAAGCATCTCACATAGGTAATCAATTACCATTATACGACCTCCTAGTTTCCAAGAATACTAGCTTAGAGATTATTAAAATATTTGTATGAATAAAACAAATCCATTATGTCATCCAACACGCTCAGACATCAGCACCCAATTAACCTTAGCAATAAATATTTTTAAACTTCAGGGTGGCGGCTTATCAAGAGAAACTCTATGTTTGTTAGACTGCATTCGTAGTATCTCTAACTATATATAGAGACATGTTTTCGTAGACTCATTTGGAGGATTTGCATCGGCTGACGATACGTAATTACGCTAAACGTTATGCGCATTTATTTCCCATTGATTTTGCATTTTAAATTTGGTTCGTGATTTTATTTGTGAGCTCCCAATCAAATATATTTTGTGCTAGAAAGCTGAGCGAAAATTTATATAGTTCAATGTTGATTACTTTATACTATTTGCCGCCTGTGTGTCGTGGCTTAAATATGCAAATCTCGCATTTGACCAGCTTTAATATGCAGCCACAACTAGTTTATGGACAGCGTTTTATCCAATATTTTTCAGGCTTTTTCATATGCATAATTCCCCCCAAACTCAGCTGACCAAATGACTTTTTCGAGTTCGGCTTAAATGCTAATAATAAATGAGAGCAAAGTGGGTGGGATGGGCTCACCCTAATGAGCTGAAACTTTTTCGGTTTTCCTTTTTCGGTTTTGCGATGGTGACCCCGACACATGCAAATCTGGTCACTCTGAAATATTTTATACGACCTTTTCCATATTTATTTCTTGTCCACTGGCCAATTTTCTGCTTCTCTCTGGGCTGCCGTTGCATTGACCCAATTTGTTTATTTATTGAAATTGCTTTTATGGGTTTACCGAGACACAGCGGCAACCTCCTCGGCCGCCTCTCCGGCTATCTCCTCAATCTGCAATCATTTTCTGGCCCCTGCACACTCGCCTCAATTATTATTTATCGATTCCAACTCAATTTGTCAAATATATTTTCCTCGTCTTCCCTTCTGGGCCGATGTGGGCGTGGCCGCTTATTATTTGGCATTCGATCCGATGCATGATTCATGGAGAATGGCTAAATTGTTGATGTGGCATTTGAATCCATCGATTCGCTCCAGATCGAATGGTGCCAGGGCACTTCAAGTCCTGCCATGGGCACTGATTTTGAGGACACTCCCATGAAAATGAAATTATAAATTTATCCAGATTTAGCTCGGAGCCCCCGGCTCCCACTGGCCACCCACCCACAAATCGGTATAGATGAGTGTGGTGCCTGAAAGCATTATCCAATATGTAGCGTCGACTTTGTACAACCCCCTGACATTGTCACCCAGGTCTCGGACTGTGACTGTTTGTTGTAATTGCTGAGTCTAATTTATGCCAGCGGACAAAGTCAATGTCGGTGTGGGGAATCCAACTGAAAACCTGAATCCGAAATGGAAAAGCGACCAAAAAACAAACAGAAGTCGTGCGGAGTCGGGGCGGAGGGCAGCTCTGGACAGTGACATGAAAAAGCGTTTATCTAAGCAAAATGTTACCAAAGTCCGTAATTACAATTTATTGAAGGTAATTGCGTAATTTTCGTGACGGACTTTGTTGTTTAGACTTTCAAATGGCCAATGGACTCTCATGGTGCGTGTGCACCCAAAAAAAAAGATGTTATCTTGATTTTTAAATACTATTTAAAGCTTACATTTAAAAATATTTATTTTTTACCTGTACCTCTGGATAGTTTATTGTGCGTACCTGCTTTAAATGGCGCTTCCGATTGGAAAAATTCCCCAGCTTGTTTGCCAGTGGCATGGCATGTTGCATGCAACGCTGATTACTGCTGACCATCCGTGGAAATCTTTGCTGTGGCTCGCAGGTTCTGTGATTTCTTGTTTACCGAGTCAAGTCGTTGTCATTTCCTGCCCGAGGTTTAAAAAAAATGGACACATGGCTTGCGGTTGGAAAGGAAGGTGACTGATTTTCTTGTCAGAGATGTTCTTGTTTCAATCGGAGACACGAATTTCCTGCCGGATTATAGGAATTAAATCAAAATATCTCTACCATATTAAAGAAATAATAAATTCAAGAAATTCTCACCTCATTTAAAGCACATTGTTCGCCAATTAAACCTCCCCAGAGCGATTGAAATCACGTTAGCAAGAATGAAAGAAAGAAAACCTTATTTAAGCCGCATCCCCTGAAAATTGAAATTTAATTTGCAGGGACTTGGCTAACAAAAAAACGCCAGGTCATCATCGGCGGCATTAGTTTGCACATATTCAAATCAGTTTTTTATTTGTTAACAAAAAAGGCCGCGGAAAAATCGTTAAAATAAAAACCGTTGAAGAGGTGTTGGGTAAGCGGCGGCGGAAAGACAGGAAATACTTTTGGCCAACTAAGCAGGGAAACTCGACAGCAAGAGCAGCAGGAGGAAAAAAAAAATAAAACTGGAAATCATTGTGCGCCACCTCCCAGCCTCGGTCTCCTCCACCATCATTAACATATATTTGAAAACGCAAAGGAATTTCGTTTCGTTTGGTCCCTGGGCTGGCGGGTTTTGTGGGTCCTCATATAAATTTGTAAGTATGTTAGACTTGTCACTTGCACACTTCATGACCATATTTGTCACATTTGCGCCATGTTCACCGTGGCCAAGGAGCCCGCGGGGCATCCATCCAGGGGTCCGGCACTGGGTCTGTTTCCTGGGTTGCTCCAACATCCCAGCATCGCAGCATCCCAGCGCCACTGCCTCATTGCTCGTCCCTCGGCGGGCAAATCAGATGCGCAACTAACGAGCAACAACCACGACAACGGCAACGACATGGAAATTCGTTCGCTCTGCGTTTTGCCATACAAAATGACCAGAGGGTAGACCAGGATGTGATGGACTAGGACCTGACTAAGGGATACTTATAAAGAGGCTTTAAAAAAACTTGTGCCTTCAAGAATCTAATATCTACAGAGATAGAGTATGAAAAGAGACTTTGTAGGTAACAGCTTACAGCTCTACCGGAAAGTCTGCTAGATACAATATTGAAATAAAATCCCTGGTCATTGGTTATTCGCATTGCCAGTCCCACTTTGGTATTCACAACTTGCTTTTATTGTTTTGCCGGCTGCTGCTCTGGCTGCTGCTCTTGCTGTTTCTGTTGCCAGTTGCCGGCTGCTGGCTGGATGTTGCTGCTGATGCTGTGATGCTTTCTGCGGTTGCCGCAGACGCCTTCTGGCCATATTTGTATGAATAAATGCGTATTTAAGCACATACTTACAACACTTGCCATGTATGGAGTCCGGGCAGCCCCAAAAGACAAGGGACACAGGCTGGGGCAGAAACAGACAGCACAGGGGTCCCGGTGTCCTGGGGACACAGACAGCGGACAGTTTTCCCAGTGAAACAAGTACTAGGAGGAGGCCTCGGGCTTTGCATTTTCCTTTTAAGCCTTTTCACATATTTTCTGTTGCGGTTCACATTTGCTGCATGCAACGCAATGTTGTTATAAATTGCAGAAATATCTCAGTTGCAAGTCCGAGTTGTCGCTGACAATTTATTAATTAAGCTGAGCAATTTGTTAAATCATTTTTTAAGCAACTTATTCAAATGCAAAATTGCCATTTGAGTAATTGAATATTAAATAATTATCTAGAGTTTATCTAGGCGAAATCGGATAAAAAAAATTGTAAGCGAGTTTGCGGAATGGAAAAAATATTAATTACGTAAATGCAGAATGTTGCAGGCAATCAATTGTATCTGAAAATATGGCAAGCAACAGCCCCATTCTATCGGGCAGGGCAGCCTAGCCATTAAGGCATTAACATAAATAAATTATTAAAATTAAAAAAGAAAATTACTGGGGAAAAAGACAAAAACGAAAACTGGGGGATATGTAAATTATAAAAAAGCACTGGCCGTGAGCCCAGAGCGAATCAAATGAGAATGCATTTAAATGAATATTTTAAGCAAATCATAAATTGTTGGCATACAGAGCTCTTTGCAATATTATTAACAATTTACGATACTGCTGCTGGATTAAATAATTTATGGATTTTTTGCACATTTCTCCCGTTGCAGGTCTTCGATCAACAATATGTTTGACAACAAGTTCCGGCACAGCAATTGAATTTAATAAAATAAATTAAACCAAAGGGCTGTCAGTAGAGTCGGAGAGAGAGAGGTCAAAAGCACACTGTTTGAATTGTTAATGAGCGGCAACAAAAAGCGTTAAATGCTGATGACGTTGCCGCTGTTTCTGCCACAGCCACTGCCACTGCCACAGCTAACGTCTCAGTCATCGTCGCTGTCAGCGTCGCTGATTCAACAGTGCTGAAAAGTCAATTAAAGGTAATCAAATCGAAACTGATTGCATTACAACACCAGCGACAATAATTTTAATTCGCATTGATGTTGTCACTTATTTTATTTCATTTTCTGCTAAATACAACAATTAATTGGGGCAGCTCCCCCGCTACCCTGCTGCCCCCCTCGACTGGGCTGTCGCATTGCGGTTTAAACCGCACTGCCTGCCTGACAACTGCTCGGTACGCACGCGGTTTTTGTCGCAGGTGCGATTTTTTGCCAGGGATTTGGATTTGTTTCGGTTTTTACTAGTAAACCCATTAAAATTCGGGGATAATAGTTTGGTTTTACGGCTAATTGGTATAAGAACCTTGTACTTTATGATTATTTTTTATGGAATTACAAATATTTTGTTATTAATTAGTTTAATCCGATTGAATATCCCTTGCTACACTAATTGCAAGTTGTTAATGTTTTCAAAACAGAGCTGCAACTCAATTGAAAATCTTTGGCGACTGGGCAAAACTCTTGGCAAAGTAATATAAATCACCCGAGGGTTCACAACTTGAACTCGAGAACTCTGGGGCTGAATGGTCGCTGGTTTAATGACGCAAGTAATTGCAACAGCAACTGGTAACTGGCAACAAGCGGCGGGCAACAAGCAACTTGCAACTGGGAGCTGGCAACTGGCAGCGCGTACTGTGACGTGGGCCAGACTTAATGAAAATCAAACAAAACAAGCTGCTCAACAACAATAACTCAAAGTCGGTCAACTGTGCAGGGGAAAACGCTGTCGATTTCCCTCCTTTCCTTTGCGAATGGAGCAATAATTGATAAACGAACATGAGTGAACAGATGTACAAGTGTTTCGAATGAACGAATCAAGCTCAATATCGTCGATAACATTCAAAGGAAGTCAGTCAGTCAGGGGTATAGCCAGCAGAGAGAAAAATCTTCCAAAATTACAACTCCATTTACAAAACTTATAAAATAAAAGCTATGTAGTTTCTCTCAGTGCTGTTGCAGGCAAGCCAAATCAATTGATTTATGCAGCTGAAACGCATTTGAGGACGGTCTTTCATACGCACTTAATTGAAAGCAGTAATTAAATTAATGACTGCTTCTCCGGCGAAAAGCCTGCCTTTAATTAAGTCAAGGAATGACAGTTTTCTACGTCTAACTGGAGCATAGACGACCGTAGACACTGTGGCATGTGCAATTGTATCCAATTCATGATCGTCACGCAACTCTGGGGCCTGGGGGCATTGCACTCCGTCGCACCACACTCTCTGGGTCTGAAAGCGGAAGCATACTTGTGTCTCAGAACCCGCCAAAAAAAGTGAAGCTTACTTTAGGAATTCAGTTCTACAAAGAACGTGACTTTAAGCCTTTTTTTTACCATATTTTACCGATATATGGTATATAAAGATAGTTAATACTTTGGCTTAAAGCCATGTACCTCCATCCCAAATAAAATCTGCAACTTTATTGCATTCCTCGAAATGAAAAGATTTTCAGGCCTTACCCTCATTCGTATCTACTTTATATCATTCTCATTCCGACTTTTTCTTCATGTATTCATAATTAAATTAATTAAATTCTTGCGCTTCAATTAAAATCTTATTAAGTTTCCGTATGCCTATCCCCTTGCGTGGATTCCCTTTTTGGAACAATGGGGATACTGCGAAATTGCCGAGAACTGGCTGGCTGGCTGGATGGAAAGTAAGTCGAAACGAACGGCCCACAAAGGGGAAAAAGCGGGAAATGAAAAACTTCTTACAAAGCTTACTTATTCACACATCATGCAGACAACGAAAGACTTTTCACTGGCAAATACTTTTCCTGTCCCCAGCAAAAATACCCATACACGCCGGCACACTGGGACGTTAAACATTATTCAACGGCCAGGAAAAAAAACGGTTGGGGGCGGAGGGAAAAAAGAGTCCTGTTCCCTTTTACATCCTTTTTTGGGGTGCTGGCAACAACACGGGATGCCAAAAGCAAACAGCACGAAGAAAAATGCTTGCCGACCATGTGGTTCGGTTGATGTTGCTAGTACTGTTGGTGCTGTTGGTGCTGCCGTTGCACATATTGCTGCTGCATTCTTCGCATAAATTTTGCCATCGCACTTAACTCATGTCTCGGGGTCTCTGTTTAAATGAGTCTGGTTAGCTCCACCCATGGCCCAGTACCTCTCTTGGAGCGCCGACTCCCTTTGAAAGGCACTGGAAAAAATTATCATAACAATATTGAAAGGAGACGTCAAGAGGCTTAGTTAGTTTGGAAAGTTTGGGAAACTTATAAGTGAAAATATCTACAAACTTGAGAAAATTTTTAAAATTAATTTTAATAAATTAATTCTGTTAGTGTTGCTGCATAAACAATAAGACTGCTTAAAGCGAAAAACCCCCTAACTTCCGGCCTCCTCGCCTTCCCACTGTGCCACGTAGGATTCGGTTCACATGTGACGCTGCTCCCCAACCGTACGGCCTTGCCTCATGTTGAATTCAGGGAGGGGATGACACAGGGCAGTAGGCAAAAAGTTCAGTCTTATTTTATACATTTTTTTTGGAGAATGTTGGGCGAGGAAGTTTAAAGGCAAATGCAAACAATATGGAGCATTTTAAACGCACTGTGGTATGGAGTTTTCCGAAAAGTAGATGAAACTTAAAGTAACAGAGGGTTAAAGGGTCACACAGTCAAAGAACTCCTCCTGGTGTATAGAGTCTTAAAGCTACAATCTTGACAGTTGCAGTCGATTCCACTGTTGGTCGGGATAACCCCGGGCAAGTAAATCACCGCAACTGTAAAACTAAATTTCCAGAGCACTAAATCTACGCACACCACCCTGGCTAAACCCCGGCGAAACCGAACCCGAAACCGACACCATGGCGCTGCCCCCCTCCTTACATACTTGGGTGGGGCCAACCTCAGTTAACCCCAAACCGGGTGGAGCAGTGTAAGCTGCCCGCTTAGATCCTTGTCTCACTGCCCGCCCGTACTGCCACGGTCTTTGGGCACTTCCTTTCGCTTTTGTTACATCCTTGCCGTGCAATTTTCACCGTTTTGTGGTGCACTTTGCGCCTGGCCGCGATTTTGCGAAAGATTTATGGGCCACGACATGGAAGCGGAAGTGGAAGCGCTGCTCTGTCCAGGCCACTAAGTCCAGCAGCAGGTATGCAACACCAGAACGCCACTGCCACAGCTACTACACAGAGAGGAATTCAATTGTATTTAGAAGTATAATTAGTTTTGAAACAAAAGAAAAACCAACTCTTTCTCTTAGTGTCCTTGTTGGATTTTGTAGAGAAGAGAGTGGGATAAAAGTTGAGACTATCAGCGCGAGTTCTTTCCTAATGCCTGTCAGCAAATGCCTTTTTTAAGGAGCTAAGTGTGGCACCCCTTCTCTGTGCAACATTTCTGGAAAAATCCTGAATCCTTATGCGCTCGTTTTCATTTAGCGCCCCTTACCTTTCTACTATTTAATGCTTAATTTAAATACAAATCCGATCTGTTTGCTGACTTTCGTTGATAAGCGGCAGCAGAAATGATGGCAAAAGTTGCAAAACTTTTCAAGCTTCAAGCAAATGAAGAAAAAGGAAAAATCATTTGCTTGGGCAATGGCAATTTAATTTGCTTTTGGCTTAGAGCTCGGTAAACTTTCAGGGTCCTTGAAAAGGGAGTTTGGCTTCAAGGATCTTGACTGTAGAGCTGTAGCGCTGGGTACTTCTCTTTAAAGCTCTTTGTAAGCAATTTGAAAAGGATTACAAATATTATAAAATATTTAATAACTAAATATGCTATTATTTGTTTCAAAATATTCCAAATTCCCTTACATCCATAGATTTTATATCCTTACTTCCCTAAGCCATGTCTTTAGCAATCTGCACTATCGCGCCTTAATTTTAAAGCCCTTGCTGGTAAATGCCTCCCCAAATGCGGCTGCCAGGACTCTCGGGTATCCTTTTCAGAATCCCCAACATCTGCAGTTGCGAGCGAAGTTTATGTTCGACATGCTGTTACGGCGCCATATGCGCGTTTATCAAAAATTCCACAACCCACTCCGGGGCCAGAGCCCCGACTAAGTCCGGGGATATATATGGGGTTAGTTTTCCGCTTGCCGTATAAATTTGTTTAAGACATATAGCAAGGATCAATAGCCTGGGATTTATTGTCTTGGCTTTAAAGTCCCAGACACGGAAGTGCCAAGAGGGAGGGGCCAAGTGGTGGATGGCAAGGTCGCTGGGCGAAACTTTTTTACCTACTTTCGACTGTCGCCGTTTTCCGGGCATGGAGCCAGAGACAGAAACCGAGCCAGAGCCAAATCCAAAAGCCACAGCCAAAAAGAAGCCACGGAGAAGAGATGGAAAGAAAATTATGGCTAAAATGGCGACGTCGTCTGGGGCCGAGGAGGTACCTCCTCGATGTCGTCGGCTTGCGGTCGTTTATATGTAAAATATTTGGTTTACTTTATGACTGCTTTGGGTATTACTCTTTACTTTCTTGCCATGCCAATTCTGGCCCTCTTTCGCCATCGCACTTTTCTTTACCCGCCATTTCTTTACCCCATTTCCCGCTTTTGAGCCAAACTTTTTCGCCAGGCAGTAAAAACAAACAGACTGGCTGGATTGTGGGCCAGCCGGAGTTCGGTGCTAGGAATTATGCCATAAAAGCATCGTCTTAGTTCCAACTTTGCCAAATTCTTGGCTTGTCGACGACCAGCTTCCCCTTCTTATCGTGGACTCCATGGTCGTCATAGTTGTCGCCGTCGCCATCGCTGGGTCTCAATGTTCAAGGGAGCCATAAAATACTTTCCGAGTCCAAAGCACCGCACAGCTCCTGTTGTTTGCGGCTCTGATGGCGGCGGCTGAGAGAGATTAGCGCCGGGGGACTCTTCCTATTTGATCCTGAAAGGAGACCAACAAATGAGCCTTCTCATTGGGGCAGGACTTTAACTGGCCAGGGTTCTTGATCTTGACTTTATTGGAGGTATGGATCCCACATCTTCTATTTCCAAATCACAGCTCTTTTGGGTCAATAGTTTAAGGTGTTTACCGCCCTGTTAGCCAAATAGTATTCGTGATTGGAAAGTGCCTATGCCAGGGCCTTTCGAGTTGCCTCGATTTCCTCAGAAATTAGCTTTCCCCACCCGCTGATTATCCACGTATTCCGCATCCATGTAGCCTTTGCGGTTCATAAGCACAAATCAGCTGCCAAGAGAGAGAGTGGCAGAGCCAGAACCAGAAACCGTTCAATTCGTGCGCCAAATTCCGATTCGAAATCTAAATCCAAATCCAAAGGCAAAGCCAGACCCAGAGCTAGAGCCAAACCCCAAACCGATTCAATTGCCAAAGAAGGCTAACCAAACTTGTGCCCGATTACCATTACTGAAAATTGAAGTAACATGTGTGACGATGCGCAATTGCCAAGCGCCCCCTGGCGGCCACTCTCTGGAAGCTGTTGTGCCCCGCCCACCCTCGGCCGCCCACTGGCCACCCCACCCTACCGCCACTCAGTCGCAGCTATTGTTTCGTTTTCTATTTCACAGACGAGTGGATGTTGCCCCGGCGACTTTCACTGCCACACAGCCTTCAGCCGCAAGTCGCGAAGTGGTGGGTGGGTGGGTGAGTGGATTGCCAGTGGTGGGGTGGTGCTGTTCTGCTGTGCTGCTGCTGGCTGGGTGGTGGCCCAAATACCGCTTCCAATTTGGAGCTCGGGGTGTGCGTGAGCCATGTCTTTGTTTTGTCTCCTTGCGATGGCAAATATTTGGTCTGCTAGCGCAGTTCGAGCGACAAAAAGTATCTCACAGATGCACAAACTCAAAGTCGAACTGGCTGCTAAAAACTGAAACTGTAAACTGTGCAAATAGTGCAAATGGGGAGCAGGGCGTACACGTCTTGAGCGGAAACTGTGCCAAAAGACGTATGGCACAAAGCAGGATAAATTTGCCAAGTTTATCATAGCAGGACTGGGCGGGGGGTGGGCGTTGGAGGCAGGACTTGGCTGGCTGGCTGTTGGCAAAACATGAGCCAGGGCATTGAGCATAAAATATTGTCGGCGATATTTTAACGGGCGCTCAAGCGAAATTGTCATATAAATAACACCCCAGGAAAAAGGGGGGAGGACCGCTCTACAGGCCGCTCCACGGGTTTAAGGTTTTAGGATATTGGCTGGCATTACTTTGAAATATTAAACATTTGGCCGAAACAGCAAACAAGCAAAGTTGAAGTTTATTGCCGACGTTGATGGCTCGAGTTGAGGAACTTTCTGATGATGGCTGCGGGGCTGAAGGGCGAAATGGAAAGGCAAGGAGCCGAAAGAGTTGGCCAAATTGGGGCAGCCCTGGAAACCGGGAGACCATTATGGACCAACGCGATTCCGATGCTATTTTTAAGCACCGTCGGACAAACTTTTTTTTTCCGCAACAGATAAAATGAAAGGAGAAGCCGTAAAAAAAAAACACCGACCGATACCCCATCGCTGTGGGCACCCACCGAACTGTGCCAAAAGTCCGGGCTCCTTTCCCCAGCCATTAAATCTGAAACATGCATTTATTTAGCAATTTCCACCAACTGCAACTGCACCAGCCAAGTTGCGGCAAATGATTCCTTTTTTGTGTCGGCAAAATGGCAAATTTTCGCATATATAGCTGCATTTTGGGCTGCAAACTAAACAAAAAGGGCAGGGCCAGCAAGTGTTAAAGGGGGAAGGTAATGTGCGGCGGGGGCTGGCGAGTGGCAACCGAAGCGGAAGTCATAGCGCTGGGTCAGGGCAGAAGCAAAACCAAAATCCGGCGACCAAAACCGGCAAAAGACGGAACACAGAACGCCACCAGACAGATACAATAAAAGGGCTTTCGCCGCCCACCTAGCCCGCCCCAACTGCCCCCGACAGTTCGACATTTTTTTGGGCCAGGGCCACAGGGCTGCAGAGTGAAAAAAATACAAGTCACAGCTGCAACGAAAACAGTCTCAATTAAGGTCAATGGAATTAGCAGGGTTTTTGGTTAAAAACATAAATTAGGAAACTATCTAAAAGAAGCTTAAATAGAAGGCATACTTTAAGTCTGAAGAAGTCTCCTATAATTACTAAACAATTAATATCAATAGCTTAACATATTATCTTAATTTTAAATCAATATATATTTTTTTTCTGTGGAAAAGTTCAACTGACAGACAAACATTTGCAACAATGGCTGTGGCTAGAGGATCTGAGGAGGTATCCGGTACAAGCGGAACTAATAAATGAGTTCAGCAACAGCAGCAAACCCCATAAAAATCACACAGTAAAAACAAAATGTATAAAATAAAATCACTGTCTATAAGAAAAAGGTAGCATACTTCTAGGAGATAAAATTTGAGATTTTAAACCGGCTATTTTGAATTGTAGAAATGGATTCATTAAGGAAAATCTCATATTAAAATACAGCTCAACCCTGCTTATAAAAAATAAAATAAAACACACTTGACTCGTCCTAGCCCAAGTGATAATAGCTGAACCCTTTTGCAGGTCGATTTCTTGGCAGCTCATTGAAAACCAGCCCGGGGTCTTGCGATGGCCATTTAACAGGATTTTAGCAATTTAAATATGATTTTTTCCCAAAAACCCACACTATACCCACTCCCATATGCATTCAAACCATCTGTGAGCTGCTAAAAGGAAAAACTTCACAGTTTTTGTTTTTATTTCTCCGAAAATTTTGTCGGCTGTAGGCTGGCGGCTGTTTATTCTTCCAAAATCGAGATGAAGGGAAGTCAGGAGCCAGAAGCCCATTGCAGTCTCAACAAGTTGCTTTATGGCATATGCATGATAATGATGAGGAGTCGGGACACCAGGATAAAGCCAGGACCCGCCACGAGTGCCATTTTTTGTGGCCTTGTTCCATGTGATGGCTGCTCCCGGGTGTTTATGTGATATTTACATAATAAAAAGCGAGAGTTTCAGCATGTTGGGGCTCGGAAGTTATCCTTTGGTTGGACGAAGACAGCTCTTCGAGATATTACAGGCCGCCCCTCTGAAGTCTGACCCACATCTATGATTATTTTCATTGCGCCTTTGGGGCCCGGCCACGCCCACACTGCGTAAAGTTGAAAAATATGAAAAAGGGGCGCGGAAAGGGCTGAGGGGTAAACTCGCATATCCTTTGTCTTTTTCAGCCCCTTCCCCGCTCGGGAAAAACAACAAAGGAAAAAAGAATTTAGCTTTTGTTTTATTTATTTTATGGCCCGTTTGGGGAGCCCGGTGCCGATATCCTTTTTCTGGTCCCCCCCATCCTTAAATCCTTGAACTTCTGGCTGTTGGCCGTGCTAAATTAAGTTTTGTTTCGCCAGCTCTCCCTCCCCAGCAGCCCCGAAGCTGATAAATGTCCCCAAAGCAAACAAAGTGCAAGTTGTTTTTTAAGTTTGGCCCCAACTATGCGGCGTATCTTTGGCCTGTCCGGGGACACTTCGGGGAGTGGCATCTATTGGGGCGTAAACTGGGGTGGTTGGAGTGGAGGTTGGGGGCTAGGGGCTGGGGTCTTGGGGTTTAAGGCCAGGGTCTGACTTTGGGGACCTGCCAGTTGACACAAAGGGTTGCCGGGGCAGTTTCCATCTCCATTGTTTGGCATGTGTGCGTTTTTGGGAGGGGTTTAGTATTTCCAGGAAATTCTGTTGGTCTTCAAAGGGAGGTTTTGTCTAGGGTGTGAGTATCTCTCAGTTCATCCTAAAAATTAAAGAATCACAAGCTTTAATTAGGTTCAGCCATTTCATATTTATCTGTTATTACTGTTTGGTTTGCCACTCATTTGTAAGAGGTTGTACAAAGTCTACGTCATTGTCTGAATGTATTTCCAAATCTGGCAGCCAAGCAAACAAATTCAACCAAGAATTTGGCCAGAAATAGCTTAAGTTGTCCGTCGTTTGAAGCCCTGAAAGCTGCCTGGATCGATAAAGCTGCCGCCTCTCAGCTACTCCTCCGATTAGAGCCAACTGCCGGGCAACCATTAAGTCTGCAACAGACTGTCGGGCAACTGTTACAGCAAAACTTGCTGCAACTTCCATTTGCTTTTAGCCGTTCGCTAATTCCGTTCCTAATGTCCAGGCCGTGGCCATTTAAATTGTCTTCATTTGTTTACTGCCCGACAGCAAATGGCGGCGACTCAGGGCTTGCTACCCCAGGTTGAACGTCGGGGCCGGGCCGGGAGGGGGCCAAGTAATCCACAAAACTACCGATTAACTCCCGACGGGGGCAATGCGACTCTGCAGCTGCCAAATCCAATGAAAATCCAAAAGCCAAGCAATTTTGAACTCTAATGGAAAATCAATTTAAAGCGCTCCAACCTAACCAACCTTTTCTCCGCTTTTTTCTCTCCCCTCTTTGCAGGCGAATGCCGGACTGGTCTGGACTGAAAAGCCATTGGCTAACTTGGCCAGAACGCAGCAGCTAACCGAAAGGAGGAAAGCAGACACAAAGCAACGACAGCCGGAGCCGGGGAAAAAGCCAGACGATAGAAGCCAGTGAGTGGGTAATGAGCGGACGACTGGCAATTACCATGTCGTTCGCCAATCTCCTTGGCCAGAGCCTGGGCCTCCTGCTCCTAGTCCTGGCAGTGGTGCACGTGCCCAGTGCCCGGGGACTGGCCAACTGCCCCAATGGGTGCGAATGCGACGACGACACACTGATGGTCAACTGTGGCGAGGGCTCCCTGGATGTCCTGCCCATCGCCCTCAACCCCGCCATCCAGCGGCTCGTCATCAAGAACAACAAGCTGAAGACAATCGACTCGTCGATGCAGTTCTATACGCAGCTCACTTTCTTAGAGCTGTCCTTCAACGACATGGTCTCCATTCCGGAGCTCTCCTTCAAGTACCACGCCAAGCTGCAGGAGCTCCACCTGGACCACAACAAGATCGGCCAGGTCTCTAACAAGACCTTCCAAGGCCTCTCCACCATCAGCGTGCTCAACCTGCGCGGTAACCTCATCGCCGAGCTGGAGTACCGCACCTTCTCCCCCATGGTGAAGCTGGCGGAGCTGAATCTCGGCCAGAACCGCATCAGCCACATTGATCCGCATGCCCTGGATGGGCTGGTCAATTTGCGAGTGCTCTACTTGGATGACAACTCGCTGACCACGGTGCCCGGAGAACTGACCTTCCAGGCTCTGCCGGCCCTGGCGGAACTTTACTTGGGTACTAACTCCTTTATGACGATTCCCGGTGGGGCTTTCCAAGATCTTAAGGGTCTGACCCGCTTGGACCTGCGCGGAGCCGGGCTTCATAATGTTTCAGGAGAGGCTCTCAACGGCCTAGAGGCCCTCCGCTACTTGGATCTCTCGGATAACAGCCTAGCGGCGATTCCCACAGCCGCTCTGCAGAGGCTGGGGCGCCTGGAGCAGCTCAGCATTGGCCAGAACGACTTTGAAGTAATACCATCTGGAGCCTTCGCTGGTCTTCGGGAGCTGCGGCAACTGGAGCTTACCGGCGCCAAGCGTCTGCGGCGTGTGGAGAACGGTGCCTTCAGCGGCAACACCAATCTGGAGCACCTGAACCTCTCCAGCAACAAGCAGCTGAGCGAGCTGCCAGCCACCGCCCTGGGAGGTCTGCCCCATCTGAGCACAGTGGTGCTGAAGGCGAACCAGCTGGGCAGCCTGGACGAGGGCCTGGTGCCCTGGGCCGATCTCCAGAGCCTGGATCTCTCCGAGAATCCCTTCGTGTGCGACTGCCGACTGCTGTGGTTGCACCACCTGCTGATCAGTCGGAATGCCACTGGCCAGTTTGCTCCGGTAAACTGCGCCTATCCGGCGACTGTGCGGGATGTGCCCCTGGCCCAGCTGGCAGAGCCCATCCTGGGCTGTGCCCACGGAGCGGCCAGTAAGCAGGCCATCATCGGCATCCTGCTGGTGGCGTGCGCCGCCCTGATCACGACGTTAGCCCTGCTGCTCTACACCTGCCGCCGTCGGATACGGGAGCTGCTGAAGGGCCACTCGGCGCTGGGACGGAAGGAGCGCGAGTACCAGAAGACCTTCTCGGACGAGGAGTACATGGCCAGGCCGCCGGGCGGGATCGGAGGCGTGCACCCGTCAGCAGGTGGTTATCCGTACATGGGCGGCAGCAGCCGCCCCATACCTGTCACCGAGCTATAGCTAGAAGCACCACCCCCGCCTCAGTTGCGGGGTCGGGGTGGCGCCATCAATGCCGCCAATGCGGCGGCGGTGCAGCAAATGCAGGCTCCCAGCGCCGTGGACCAAGCCTCCTCTTCCTTCGCCCAGCTCAGCCACATCCACTACATGACCAATAACGGTGCCCCGCGCGCCCAGACGCCCAAGACGATCCACCACTCGCAGCAGGACATGCGTCTGCTGGCCTGCAACGGCGGCAAGACCCTGAACGTGGCCTCCCTGCCCCGCCACCGTCAGACCGCCGCGGTGGTGCAGGAGAGCACGCTGTCGCACTACAGCCAACCACTTGCCAACGGAATCCGCCTCACCCAGGACCACTTCAACCACAACCAACCGAACCACGGCTACGGCGGGGTGTACGCCAAGCCGTGCGACGCGATGACCGAGCCGGGCTACATCCACAACAACTCCCACTACTCGCTGCCCCTGGACCACGACCTGCCGCCCAGCCCCACGCCCACGCCACCGCCTCCGGCTCTGCCGCTCCGCAACGGCGTGGGCATGGCGCTCATCCACGGCAACACCACCGGACGCCGATCCTTCAACAGCAGCATCAACAACAACAACGTAGCCACGCTTTCGAATAACAACCATCACGGCGGGGCATTGGGAATGGTGGGCGCCGGCAACAACAATGGGAGCCTGCGTCGGTACCACTGATATCCGGCCAAGACGTGCGGCACCTTGGGCCGCACCGTAATCAAGCCTCGGCCGGACCCGGACATCGAGCTGCATTACTTCTACAAGGGCTGAGTTGGGGCCGAGAGTGGCGCGACGGGAGCGATCTAATTTAATATCTTATTCTAGTGTATATTCCTACGTTACGTGTATTCAGGCGAAAGCATTCTGTATAAATTAGGATTTAATTCGAAAGGTTGTCGAGAGGGTGGGTACTAAAGGATGCAGGACAAGGCACAAAATGGCTGCCGGTAGCTGAACTACTTGGAGGAGTAACGACAGGCTTACAAGCACCCCGTTCTGCCATTTCATTTGCATCCAGTGATCTTATTCATTAAGTTTTGCTTAAACGCACTTCAATTCATGTACATAATTAGAAGCTCTTAAAAACAATGTTTGCGACCACAAATAAATCAAATATTTAAAGAAAGAAAATTGAAAAAAAACGATGCCCCAGAAATTAATTTACTTTATTATATAACATTAAGCTAAGCGCTTAAGCACCAGTCATTAAAACTATGTATGTATTGTATTTAGCCTAAACTATCACAAAAGAATATTCCAAAAATAAATAAAAGAAAGCTAAACAAACGTAAAGTAAAGTAAATTATATGCAAAACCTAAAAATAGAACTCAGCAGTTTTTATAGTTAATAGACTCAGTAAAATAAAAGCCGGCATATATTGCATAAAAGGTCTTTGCAGAGCGAGAGACGACACAAATACAAAACAAAAGGCATTAAAACTTCACAATATTCATGTAGAACCTACGCCGCATTCACAAAATATGAAACCATAAGCAATTTATGCAACATAAACAAATACAAATAAACCTATATACGAATTACTATATTGTGTAAATAAAAAAAAAATGGCTATCTCGAAAACTTACATTTTTCGTTTTGTATTTCTTGTTTTTCCAGCTTCGGCTGGGGGATTTTGTTTCAGAATTTAAAGTTTTTTGTTCATTTTCGCAGCAACGAGTCGAGAGAACATATTCGATCACGTGTACATATTTAACAATTTAATGGAACAAATTGCAAAACCAATACAAGGGAGTTAAAAGTAACCTAAAGTAAAAATTAAACGAACAAAAAACACAACTAGCATATGTAATTGAAAACTTATTCAAACGCAATTCTCATATTCATATTTCATAACGAAGCGAATCTTTCATCTAGTTATACGACGAAACAACACTAATACTATACCCTAAATCAATTCAAGATACAATATAAGCAAATTACAAGGGAAAAGCATAGTTAAACAAGCGAAATGCTATAATTAATACAACAAACATAGAGTGTAGCCGAATACAAACCAAATTTGTGGATCAGCATCTATCGTATCATAAAAGATCAGCCGGAATGGGCAGTCATACAAGGAATTCTCTCAATGTAATGGTTAATCGCATAAGTGAAGCTAATTGAAAATTCAACAGTGTTCAACAACTAGAAGATAAAATAAAATAAAGAACAAAATTAATAAAATAAAGGTGTGCTTTTACTAATTTTAGTTTGGGTCTCATTCTAAATTGAGTATTCTGACCGACCAACGCAAAGGGGTAGCGTGGCCGAGCGGTCTAAGGCGCTGGTTTAAGGCACCAGTCTCCTCGGAGGCGTGGGTTCGAATCCCACCGCTGCCAAGTGTATAGCTTTTTTGTTTTTAATTTTTTTATTTAAATAAAATGTATTTTTCAAGTGCTGTCAGCTTGTTTGGCAATCTGGCCACAGCTTTTCACAACTAGTTCGTCCTCAAACTGTTTGTCGGTGTCAAATGCAAATACCTAAAAACACTTTTCCACGTCAGTTTAGTTAATGCGCCAACCAGCCAGCCAGGCAGAGTGCTGAAGTTCCAAAGGGAAAACGGGGGAGAGGATGGCACTCATCTGCATAATTTAATTACATTTAACAATAACAAAAACACGGGGTACACGCACACATGCCCCAATACACGCTGACGACGTGCGGCGTTTTGCACTAATAAGCGACAGGGTCACCCTGCCCCCCAGCCAGCAGCAGCCCCAGAGCCTCCACTCGCAGCTCCTGCCACCATTCGTGCAACTTGTCAAGCGTTGCTATGCACCAAAACAAAAGTCTCATGGGAGAAGCTAGAGGTGGCAACTGAAATAAATACATCCATTTCAGAGAAAGGTAAATTTTTAAGGAAAGAATATTTTTTTATAAATAAAAAATTTATTTTAAATATTATTCTTAAGTAACTTGTAAAAGCTTCTTCTCCTCTTTATCATTATTAAGTCCCTTGGTAATTAAAACAAGCTATTAAAAATTTTAAAGTTTAAAAGAAAAACATGTTCTTTTGGCAAACAACTTTCAAATTCTGCATTTAACTATTTTTGAGAGTACCCTACCATCGCTAAATGAGCCAACGGTTGCCACAGAGTTCGCTGTGGCATAAACAGTTGCACATCTGCATGCCCCAGCCACTCCCCCCGGGATGCTGGGAGCCGATGTTGCTGCTGCTCCCTCCGGTGTTGTTGCTGCCTGTGCATATGCGACATTAGCACACGCAAACAACGTACACACAATTAGAAGAATTAACAATATTTAAGGCAGCAACAACACGCTTAACTTGTTGTCAAGATGTGCCACGGTGTTCAGGGCCAACAAGGGTGGCATGGTGGCATGGTAGGGGCCAACAGGGCTCCGCTATCTTACTGCCTGCGGCTGTTGTTGCTGCCATACTTGTTATTTAGTTTTGCAACGCTTCCGCTGCATGTCCGCTGCTCCAGCCGCAACTTATTGGCCACAACATGCCAACTTATTAGGCAAAATCGCAAAAGTTATAAATTGTTTTACAAGGCGCACATTGTTGCGGCCAGAACTGAGAGTGTGGGTCCTTCAGATGGGTTAAGGACAACAGGAAGCCAGAAAGTTGGCAAGTGTTGTTCATATTAAGGTGCAATAAGATCAAAGTGCAGTGAAATCCAATTTAATTATCCCAGAAGGAGTTCTTATTTCAAAACAAATGCCGTATCCCCATTGTGACAACATCATTGTTGCCAAATTTAATTAAAGTTCCTTCGACTGTTTCCTTTTCACCCCATAAAGTTGCATTCTAGTAGGAAAAATTACAAAATATTTTTAATTGCCAGCCCTAAAATTTATGCCACTAAAATTGTTTTTGAAAACAAAAGGAGTTTTCCCCTCTGGCTTGTTGGGAAAAAAAGAAAGCTTTCGCCCCCAAACATTTTGTCTGCTGTGCTAATTTATATGTTAATTTTTTTCACATTTCCATACAAAGACTGAATATTATTTTTGTGCTATTTCATATTTCGTTGATGCGGTCGCTTTATTTTGAATACAAAAACAGGAAAGGATGCCGAAAGCCCCCAAAAACAACACCAACGAAGGCAACATAATGCCATCGTCTATTCAAAAAGGCGTTTCGGTTTGGTTCTTCCTTTTTTAGGGTTTTATTTTGCATGAAATTTTCGCTGAACTCGCACAAAAACAAGCCGGTCATGGGGATTGAGGTTTGGGGCTCGGTGCTGGGGACTTGGGGCTTGGGGCTGGTCAGAGGTTCATAGGCAGCTTTTTAATTTTCAGCATGAATTAGAATAATAGTCAACGGATATTACACAATGGCTGCCAAGGGGCGTGGTCGGGGCTACTCATATTGTTGGGGATTTCCGGTCAGCTCGGGTTCAGTTTTTGGGGATTAGGACTGCTGGCCATTAAGGGAATAGTTGACGGAAGAATCTTTAATGAGAAACTAACAGCTGAGGGGGAAAATTAAAAATATTTCTACTCTTAAGGGATTAGAGAAGAAAATCAGTATCCCACAAACTCAAAGATAGAAGTTTAATTTAAATATTTAATAGTTCCCGGAATAGTAAACCATATTTCTTTTGATGTGGCTGCCGGGCATCTCCGATTTCCTAATTATGTTTGGAATAAATACAAATTTAGCAAAGTATTTAAAGGGCAAAAAAACAAAACGCCACACACTCCTTGGAAGTGCAAAATAAGCAGTGAAAAGTGAAAAACAAAAAACAGTAAAAACAAGGACGTAAAAAGTGCTGACACCTTTGAAAAATTTTCACGCTAATAAAACACAAAACATGCCAGAGCAATGTGAAGAGCGTGAAAAACGTGGAGGAGTCCACAGTCCCCGGCACGGGGACCACTGAGATGGATGGCGATAAAGTCAGGGCAGCCATGGCTGGGAGCGTGGGGGTCCGGGACACCCTCGAAGAAGTGGGAATAGGGCCGGAAAACCCAACAAAAGGAGCAGCCACAAGCAACCGCAGGCCACTGAGGAACAGGAGGGCCGAGTGCGGACCCAGGACCTGTTTTGTATTTGTCCCAAAAAAAGGAAAAAAAAAAAAGTAGCAAGCAAAAATTTGTTTTAATGCCGCGCTCTTTTTATGCTTTCTTTATAACTTCTTTTCAGCTTTTTTGTCATGTTACAATTTTGCAGCGACAGCAGTAAAAAATATATCGCCCTCGCCACCCGACGGATGCGGATGCGGACGCAGTCGCCAAGGCAACCGCAACTTGTGCAACATCATAAACCCATTTGCGTTTTTAATTAGTAACATCGCCACTTGGCCGGAGTGAAGGGTTGGCGACTCCGTGGGAGTCAAAAGTAAATGACCATGCACAAAATGTTGCAGTGAGGCAGCATCAGCGACTGAAACAGATAACAAGTCCTGACTCTCCACTCCACTCCACACTCCACCAAAAAAAAACTGGAGCAAATAAGGTAAACATTTTTAATTGCCACAGAAACAAAAAATTATTAAGTTGCGGTTCTGTGCCGGTTTCAAGTAGTGTAGGCTCAACTAGCTAGCGACCAGGACTCGCTCTGTCGGGGATTCATCCTCATCACCGTCATCATGAAAGAGCTCGCGAACAAAGTTGAAAAGCGTAGCCCTCGAGTGGAGCAGCCTCCGGTCCGGAATGGTTTCGGTTTCGGACCCGTTGATGGTCTTCTGTTTCCATGCATATTTTTCCCCATCTCCACTGGCTGGCAATTGGTCAAAACCACGCTTGAATGTGGGACAATGACCGAGGGTCTGACCGACGCAGAGGACGGGCTTCCGACAGAGAGGTGCTGACAAGGACCTTTCGAGGTAAAGGGATAATCCCTGAAATGCAGTAAAGCCAATTAAGTTTTAAGTGAAGCTGGTAACAGAAAAATGCTCACAATAAATAGTGTTGTTTCTTAGTGGATTCTACTAATTGAGTAAATAAAAGAAAACATAGTTTATATTTTAATAAGAATTAATTACTTGAAGTTAATAATACATGGATGCAAGTCCTGTCTTTTGTAGAACATTTATTACATTTTTGACGGGATTTCAACGCTTTGCTTTCATTTTAACACCCAAGGTATCCTCGTCCCAAACTGACAATAATAAATTATGGTACGACTTTTACGAGCTACCCCGTCGACAAGGACTATTAAAAATTACATAATTGCTGAACTGCAGCAAACTCAGGAGTCAGACACAAAAGGTCTAGCCTTTCCGGTCCACTCTTTATTATTTTTTGCGTGGCAAATTGCATTATTTGCTCTTCGATACATTGGCCAAAGAATCGGGGATAGACAAGGTCTGGGAGGCAGTTGAGGACTTGAACAAATTTGTTTATGAAAAATTATGAAATCGACCGTAACTAATCGATTACGTAGCCAAACAAGCCCGGCTGGCAACAGGGCTAGAACATGGCCAAATATTGCAAAAATGCTGTCAAGGAAAAGAACCGGAAGAAATTAAAAGTAATTATTTATATTCAAAATGCTATTTGACAGTTTTCACAGAAACATTAATCTTGTAAAAATCAATTTATCTATCAAATAACTATCCTGTAAAAAAATATGTAACTACCAATTCATCGGCCAAGTTTTAAGCCCAGGGATATAGT